GAGAGGTGGACACGCTTCTCGGTGAACTGCCCAGGGCCGTGCACGGGGTCCTCGTGGGGTTCGTTCCGCACCACCTCCACGCCCTCACCCTTCTCACTCTCCTGGTGGCTGTGCTTGCTGATGGTGTACAGCTGCCCCACGCGGTACTGCGATGGATGAGAGGGGATGCTGAGCCCCAGAGGCACCGGGCACAGAGATGAAGTGTGCCAAAGGGTCCCAGGCTCACACCCCAAAGTGAGAATTCTGTACCCAAAAGCTCGGTGCTCGCCCCAAGAGGGTGGCACGGGACCCCCACTGCTCACCTCCTCGGTGGTGAGTGGCATGCAGATGCGGTACTCCTTGACCAGCATGGTGGCGGGGTCACACGTGGGCACAGCTCATCCTGGGGGGGACACGGTGTGCAGTGACAGCGGGGTGGATGCTCACGTCGGTGCCGGTGATTTCATGCGGCGTTGCTATGGCAGTGCCGTGAGGTCACCGGTACGAGGAGCTGCCCGGGTGTACCCCTGGTTGGGGACACCCCGATACCTCGCAGCGTGCCTTAACCCCTTCCTTGCCACGCAGATGCTGGTGCAGCTGTCTTGGAGCACACCCCCAAACAGCAGCACCCATCGGGGTGCTGCGTTCTCATCCAGTGATGGGTGGCATCACACTTGCGGGTGCCCGTGGACACAGACCCCGCACAGCCCAGTTCTGCTCCACCCACAGCCGTGTCCCCACGAGGTCGGGGATCCGTGTGTCGGTTCCTTTCCGGAGTGACACTGGTCCCGGGTGGGGCACTGCCGGGCTGTCCCGCTCCCCCCAGCCCCATGGGGTACTCCATCCGCATGGAACACGGCGGGGACACGGTGAGGACACAGCCCCACGCAGTGACACCGAGCAGACTCAGACCTGCCCCTCCGGGGGAGGCGGATGGAGTTGCCCGGGTGCGACTGCTCCGGCCGAGGACACCGGGGAACACAGGGACATCCCGGGGGCTTCCAGCTGATGGGGAAGAAGCCGCCCCTCACCCGCGCGGGCTGACAGAGCAGCAGCGACAGAGGTGGCCGTGGAGCGTGGCACAGCCGGGTGACAGCGGGACAGCCCGGGGACCACCGCGCTGCCTCCCGCCGCTCACCGGGACGGGGGGTCCGGGGGCTCCATCGCCCCTTCCCCTCCACCCGCCCCGCGCATCTGCCGGGCAGCGCCCGCCGCCTCCGGGGCCGTGAGTGGGGGTCCCCGCCCCGGCCCCGCCGCACTCACCCGGGTCCTCGCCGGTCCCGTTCCCCGCTGCCCGCTCCCCGCCGTGTCCCGGCCGCCCCGGGCCGTGCGCAGGAGCTGCCGCCTCCCGCACCGCCGTTCCGGCGCACACCGACCCCTAGGGGGAGGAATCCGCCGCGCACCGGCACCGCTCCGCCACTGCACCGGCACCGGGAAGCCCCATAGCACGGCGCAGCGCGGCACCGGTGTGTCCTATAGCGCGGCGTTGGGGCTCCCCATAGCACAGCACTGGGGCTCCCCATAGCGTGGCACTAGCTCTTCCCATACTATGGCACCAGTTCATCCCATAGCATGACACCAGTTCATCCCATAGTGTGCTCCCCATAGCATGGCACAGAGTGGCCCAGGGACTCCCCATGGTACGGCACAGAATGGTGCCAGTTCTCCTCATACCATAGCACCAGTTCATCCCACAGCATGACACCAGTCCTGCCCATAGCGTGGCACTGGGGCTCCCCATGGCATGAAACCAGTGCTCCTCATGGAATGGCATTGGTGTTCCCCATAGAATGTACCAGTCCTCCCCATAGCATGACACCAGTCCTCCCCAGAGAATGGCAATGGGGCTCCCCATAGCATGGCATTGGGGCTCCTCGTGGCACAGCATTGGTACTCCCCATTACATGGCACCAATTCATCCCATATCATGGTATCCCATAGCATGGCATTGGGGCTCCCCATAGCATGACATCAGTCCTCCCCATGGAATGGCATTGGTGCTCCCCATAGCACAGCACCAGTTCATCCCATAGAACAGCACCAGCCCTCCCTATAGCATTGGTGCTCCCCATAGCATGACACCAGTGCTCCTCATGGCATGGCACCAGTTCATCCTACAGCATGGCATTGGTGCTCCCCACAGAATGGCACTGGGGCTCCCCTTGGCATGGCACTGGGGTTCCCCATAGCACAGCACAGCCGAACACTGCTAAGCTCCAACCCAACATCATTTGCTGCCAGTGCTCTGTGCACCCACGAGGGCTCAGCAGCTCCTGGTAGCACCACATGCCCTGTGCTATGGGTCCCCAGTGCCCCCCAGTACCCAACCCCCAGCCCAGCCCCTACCTGCACTCCAGCCTCACCGTAGCTGATGTGCCACCACCACAAAGCACTGCAGCTCCTCACCAGCACAGCCGCCACGTGCTGCCGTGCCTTTCCTCCATGAATTTCAATCAACTCCAGCCCTAAAAATAGCTCTGCTCAGCGCTGGGCAGAGCTGCGCTGGGGTGTGCGGCTTTTTCTTTATTTGCTCAAAAAATTTCTGCCTCGGGAGGCTGTGAACGGTTCCAATATGGCCCAGCACGTCCCTGCTGGGGGGGGTGAGGGGAAAGTCAAGCAGTGCCATCCCCACAAGAGGACAGCCACCATGGTGACATGGCCGTGGGATGGCAGGTGATGGGGACAAGGTGCTGGAGCGATGGTGGTGGCACTGGGGAAGGAGCAGGTGGAGCACAGCCTGCGGATAGGTGCACAGCTGATGGCAGTGCAGAGCCTGGGGATGCAGAATGTGGAGGCACAGCATGGCTTGGGGACAGCATGGGGACACCGTGGGTGCCCAGTCCACATCTGGGAGCGCAGTGGTGGTGGGTGCCCTCCCTGCTGGGCACCTCCCTGCTCTGCATCCTTCTTCCCAGAGTGCCACCGTGCTGTGCCACTCCCAGTGGGACCACAGGGATGTGGGTGTCACTGTGTGCGTCCCCAGGCAGGGAACGCCCTGGTGCCACCGCCATGGAGTAACACATGCATGGCCATTGTGACCAGCGTGCCCTGAGCAATGGGGCTCCCACCCTGGTGACAGCACAGAGTTGTCCCAGTGCTTAGGGACCCAGCCCCCCGGCAGCTGCATTCCTCCCAAACCCGTTCCACAGGACCCCGTGCAGGTGCCAAGTAAAGGCAGCCAGCTTGGGTTTTTCCTGGTTGTGCCCTGCTGACCTGCAGTGGGTGGGAGAGAGGGGGAACCCCGTGTTCCCCTGACCCTGCCCAGCCACTCAGGGCTGCTGTGAGGCAGCACCCCCCCACCCCCTCCCACAGCCAGAGGGGAAGAAAGCAGAGAGGCAGAAAAAAGTGAAAAACGACCCGATTTAATCCCAAAGCCCCCCCTGCCCCCCCGGAGCACCCAGCACCCCATACCGCTGGTGGGACGGAGCTTTCCGAGGCATCGGCCTCTTCCTCAGCTCTCCATCCCCTGGCCCCACGCGGCACTGCATCCCATCACCCCCCACCCCTTAGGAAGGGGCCCTGATGAAGACCATCCTGGTGGAGTAGACGAGGTCCACGAGATAGGCGAGGAAGTTGAAGATGGTGAGGAAGGTGACGCCGAGGCTCTTGTTCCACCAGCAGTTCGTACTGCAGGGGTTGGGCCGGCTGCGGCCGTTGAAGCTGTACAGCGGCCATACGATGACAGCAGTGAGGTACATCAGCATGGCCAGTGCATTGTAGGCTACCAGCACCTTTTCCAGCGGGCAGGGCATGTAGCTGAGGCAGCGGCCGATGGTTAAGAGGATGATGAGGAACGTGATGATGAAGCAGATGGAATAGACGGCCACGCACCACTGCAAGCCGGCGTAAGAACTGTAGGAATCCAGCAGGGAGAAGATGAGGCAGGCGACGTAAGCCTCGAACACCTTCAGCAAGCCGGGCACGGTGGAGAGGAAACTGCTGATGTCCCCCGGGCGGGCACGGGTCAGCCCCACCTCGAGGGCGTAGGCTAGGAAGCAAAGGCAGGACATGGCAGTGGCGGCCGCCTGGCGCGCACAGCGGGCACCCGAACATGGGCTGGAGATGAAGGCGGACGGGAAAACCACGGAGCTGGTAAACACCAGCAGGGCTGCCAGCATGGCGAAGGCGGCTGTCAGGTCGTCCCAAGAGACGGGCAGCTTGGAAGACAGCTCCAGCAGTTCCAGCAGCAGTATCAGCAGCGTGACGGCGAAGCAGAAGCACCAGCTGAACATGCACCACGTCCCGTAGGGCCCGCCGAAGTAACCGGTGGAAGCCACCAGGCTGAAGGAGAGGCAGGACAGCAGGACGGCAAAAAACCGTGCGATGCCCACCCAGGAGGTGACGGCCCTCCAGTTCACCGACACCACCGCCATGGCTGCGCCGTGCCTGTAAGGCTGCCGGGACTCAGGGTGGGGCACCGGGCCCCCCGGCCCCACTGCTGCCACCAGCACCGCACAGCAGGCTGTGGGTGGATCATTAACGCGGGGCTGAGCCGTGCAGATCGAGCCAGGGGGCCGGGCGCTGGCAGCCGGCCCATGCCCTACCCTGGGGCGGGGGCACAACGCAGCCTCCTGCGCTCCCCCAGCAGCTCCCACGCCGTGCCAGGTGTGAGCGAGGGGGTTGGGGTCAGGAATGACCCCCCTCCCAACTTAGGACCCCCCCCCCCTCCCCCCACCTATCAGGAGGTGCCCATCAGGGAGCGGTTGGGTGTAGCCCCGCACCTCTGGGTGCCACCTCCTGGTGCGGCCGCAGCCGATAAGAGGCTCAAAGTCCGGGTGCCAGCGGGGCGGTGGCAGGGAGCCCTGCTGCCACCTGCAGGGCTGTCAGCACAGAGGGTGGCACTGCGGGACGGCGGATGCTGAAGGTTCCGTTTTCAACTTTAATGTCGAGCAGGCTCCAGGCGTTCCAGCAGAGCTCGGGGACACACGGGGAGCCCCCTCTGTTCGTCCTCGTGGGCTGGGGGGGGGGGCTGCGAGTTGAGGTGGCACAGTCACTGTGGGGTGGGGGACGGGTGCTGCCATGGGGTCGGGCTCCAGGGCTCAGAGGTTGCTCTCGTCCCCGTCCTCATCCCTGCCCGGCAGCCCGTTGTTGGAGCTCAGCGCCGGCCGGTTGCTCTCGTTCAGCCGCCGCACGCGGTAACTCTCATAATGCACGTTGTGGGTGATGTCCTTGAGGTCCTGCAGGTGGGACCTGCCCGGGGAGGAAGGCACCGTGTTACTCTCATGCACCCCCTGCAGCTTTGGGGTGCCCAGAGCCAGCTGCCCACCCCGGGGTGCTCTGTGGTGTGACCCCGACCCCGGCTCACCGGATGAGCAGGTCCCGCAGCATGGGGAACTCACAGTGTGCAGGGTTCTCCACTGGAAGGCAAGGCAGAGAGCTGTGGGGTCGGCTCTGTGCCACGGGGACAGCACCCACCACGCAGAGGTGCACCCCTGGGTGCTGCTCCCTGCGAGGTGCCCTGGTGACAGCCCGGTCCCGTTCCTCGGGGACACCACAGGCTGCCCTTACCTTCGATGATGCCCCACTTGGTCTTGCGGCCCAGCACCCGTTTGCCATTCACCTGGTGCTCCTGATCCGCCCCTACCACGGCGAATGGGATCTTCTCCTTTGGGATCCAGGGAACAAGGTCACCCCAGGGTGCCCCCACTCTCCCCCCAGCGCCAGCATCCCAACACTCACCCGGATCCTATCATTGAGCAACCGGTCATCAGGGTCCTCATCGAAATCCTCCTGCGGGTACACGCTGATGGCGTGGGCCTTCAGGTCCCGCTGGATCTGCAGGACACAGGGTGTGAGAGGCTGCTGGACAACAGCAGGGGGGCAGGAGGGCCAGGAGCCCCCTGTGCCTCCCCTCACCCGCTGCTTGAACTCCTCCCGCTCCTCCAGAGTGAGCGTGTCAGCCTTGGCAATCACTGGCACCACGTTGACGATCTTGCTCAGCCTCCGCATGAACTCCAGGTCGAGGGGACGCAGCCTGGTTGAGGGGGGACAGCTGTCACCCTTGGCAGCACCTATGGGTGCGGGGTCACCGCCCTGGCACTCACCAGTGCCCCGTGGGGGGGATGAAGTAAACGCAGCCGTGCACCCGGCTGTCTGGGATCTTCCTCTTGCGGGTGATGAGGATCTCCTCGCGCAGGTACCGCTCGTACTGCTCGTTGATGTACTTGATGATGGGGTCCCAGCTGGAGATAGGGGATGGATCAGAGCAGCCCCGTCAGGGTTTAGCCTCTCCCAAATGTCACCACAGTGGCTGTGTCCTACCAGTTCTCATTGTTGATCTGGTCCCCAAATCCCGGCGTGTCCGTCACCGTCAGCTTCATCTTCACACCCTTCTCCTCGATGACTGTGGGGTCAGCGGGATCCGTGCATTAAGGAGAAGCAGGAGACCGAGGTAGGGGTCCCTCCCATCTCACTCGCCCCCCATCCCCTCTCTCTCTCCCATGGTTTTGTGGACACATTGGTGACCTTACCATGGGTGACCGATTGCAGCTGCACCGTCTTTGGGATGCGCTCTTCCTGGCCAGGCTGCGAGGCTTTGCGGCTCACCTTGGACTTGAAGAGGGTGTTCACCATGGTGGACTTCCCCAGCCCGCTCTGCCCTGTGAAGACATGGACAGCTCCACCTTGTCCCCTCCCATGCATTTATAACCCCCCACCATAGCTCTCTCTTTCTTGGGAGCATCCCAATCCTACAGGACAAAGCTGGGACGCATCGCCCAACTCCTGGTGTGCAGGGAGCACAGCCACACCACCGCACTATGAGACCCATCCTTCTTCAGTCTATTGTTGCTTCAGTCTCCCCAAAGCCTGAGTTCCCCAACTCTCTCCCCACACGGTGGCATCAGATTCCCAGCAGCCAAACCCTGCAGGCGCTCACCGACAACCATGATGTTGAATTCAAAGCCCATCTTCATGGTCTTCACTTTCATCTGCTCGAGCACGGCCTCGATCCCCACATACCCAAACAGCTCGTGCACCCCATGGTCAGGGGGCAACTCTTGGGGCACGGCTGCCGCCTCCATGCTGCGCTCCTGGGGCTCCAGGCTGCTCCCTGTGCAGGGTGAACACAGGGTGAGCAGGATACCCCAAAACCAGTCCCTAGCACGCTACCCTTCCCAGGAGGACAGCGGGATGCCTTTGGTGCTGCTCACCCTGCTGCCGTTGCCCCAGCAGCAGCCACGCCAGTGGGCACGCAGCCCCAGCGCATTCCTGGCAGCCGGCAAGGTGAAGCATGGCAACAGGGCATGCCACCTCCTGGCACCATGGGGATGAGGGTGTCCCTTAGTGGCATCACTGGGGCTCTGCCAACATCCTGGTGCCCACAGCCACCTGTGCCCCATGCAGCTCCACAAGTGGTGGTGTCACCAGCACGGCCACCAGCACTGCCTCCCCAGTGAACACCTCGCTGCACAGCCCCGGTGCACACAGGGGGGGTCTGGGCATGGCACGTGATGTATCACCCCACATCTCCCCCAGCACTGTGGCAGCACTGTGGTGCTGGTGCTGACACACAGCTGGCCCCGAGGAGGTGACAGTGGGTGACAGTAGCGGTGCCATCGCAAGGCCACTGGGTGACTAGCAGCCTGGCAACCACGAGGCATGCAGCCGAGACCCCCGCCCCAGCCTTTGTGTGGTGGCTGAGGGCCCCCAGAGCTGTCGTTCCCCTCCTCCTCCCCCTCCTTCTTCCCTCCTGGCACAGCCATTGTTTGGGTCCTACCTCCGTGATGCGCTGTCTCCACTCCCACACAGCCTCCTGGGGATGAGGGGACCCCGGCTGTCCCCAATCCCCGTCACTGCAGCACTGCAACCTGGTCCCAACCCCACTGGGCTCAAATACTGGCTGCAGCCCGGCTGTTCCTGCACATGCCCAGCATGGCAATAACCCAGCCTCCCCGCCGCCCCTCCTCTCCCACCCATGCACTGAGTTTGCCTGTTCTACACTCAGCCCCAAGCCCCACCAGCAGCAATGGGAACCTCAGCACACTGACACCCTTTCCTCCAAGCATCCCCCCATCACCCATCGCATGGGTGTCCCAGCTGCACAGCTCCAGGCCTCCAAAGGGCAAGGGGAGCACGCGCTGTCACCCACCTGGCATTGGGGGTTCAGGCACCAGGGACCCCCACGCCCAGCACTGCCCACCCCGATGCCGCAGTGCCCCACGGCGCCTGCGTCCCTCGGCCCACGCTGCAGCCTCCCTGCATGGCACATATGTGCCAGCCCATTTCTTGGCACCAGTAAGGCTTGGGCGGCAGCTTGCCGGCACAGCTATGTGCCATGTGGCCTGGAGATGAGGGACACGCAGCACCTGGCCTGGAGGTGCTGGGAGGTGGATGGAGCGGACGTGCTCCTCACTGCAGAAATGGCATCTCAGAGTGGGGGCCTGGGCACCCCGTGCCCACCGGTGGGTGCCAGACCATGACTAGGGCTGGGGACAACAGCATCCAGAATGGGACGTCCTGGTGACACCACCCCAAGGTGCTCTCAGGGGGGAGATGTTCCCCTCCAAACCTGACACAGCCCAGCAGGAGCCAGGCTCCGGCCACCCACAGCACCCTCCCACTCAGCTGGGGCTTTCCTCGGAAATGTCAAAACACCAGGACTTCCTGGTGACAGCAGTGACACCCACCGGGCCGGGGGGGGGGGGGGGGGGGGGTGGGGGGGGAGCGAGGGGGGTGGTGGCAGGGCGCTGCCTGCAGGGCCCTATCCTGTCCTGCCCACCCCTCAGCACAGCACCCAACCCTCCATGCACCCACCGCAGTGTCACGGTCACCAGGACAGATCCGGAACCGAGTAACAGAGCTACTGCTGCGTCACCCCACTGTCCCCTCCGTGGCCACCACAGAGTGCCACCCGTTCACAGCACAGCCCTGCGCATCCCCTTTCCTCCTCCGCTCCCCAAACCCACCCTGAGCAGCAGACCCCCTACCTGCCCCTCACACTTCCTCACTGCTGGGATGCGAGGTGCCCACGTCCTCCCAGGGTGGCACCCACACCAGGCTCCCAGCACGGCCGTCACCTCCCACCCTGTGCTGCGCTGTGCCGAGCCGTGCCGATGGCAAAGCCAAGCAGACACAAACATTATCCCTTCATGTGGCCCCGGATAATGGCTCCCTGCAGACAGACCTGTTCCAGGCTAATTGAGGAGGGTTTATTTTCCAGGCTGGGACGGGTAAACCCGGGTTCGTGGTCTCCCAGCATGGTTTAATTACTGATGCGGCGTTAATCGGCATGTTGGCCGGGAAGTCTGTAATAAGCTCAGGGGGTGGAGGTGGGCAGGAGGGGATGGGAAAGGAGCGAGCATCGCCAGGAGTGCGGCCCCGTGACCCAGAAGTTCTGCTGCACAGGTGGAAGGCAACGGGGTGCGGGTCCCCAGCCCATGAAAGAGCCACGCAGTGACAAGCCGAAGGGACAGCAGTGACAGTTGTCCCCACAGCCAGAGACACAAGCAGAGCCACAAGCAGAAGCAGAAGTGAGAGCGCAGGGCCCTGCCGTGGCGATGGGGACTGAAATCCTGCAGTGACAGCGAGCAGCCCCACGCCACGCACCAAGGGACCTGCACACCCACCCCGCCCTTCTCCCCGCGCCCTCGGCCACCCCTACCTCGCTGCACCACGAGCCGGTCACCGCTCACCGGCCGAATAACTCCTGGGGTGCAGGCAGGAGAAAGCTGCAGCCCACAGCCCCTCCTCCGCTCCTCCTCCGCCTCCTCCTCACCCCGGGGCGCTGCGTGGGCGCTGGGTGGAAGTGAAACGGGGCGGCCGTGGAGCGAAGCTCGGCGCTTCCTGAAAAGAGGAGCGCGCCCGGGAGCGCACCGTCCCCATCCCGGCGCCCGCACGCTGCCCTCCGGCTCACGCCCACTCCGTGACCCATCCCATGCCGTCCCCAGCACACAAACCACTGTCCCCAACGTGTCCCCCAGCGCGGGTGCAGCCTGGCCGGCTCGGCCACGGGCATTGCTGCCGCATGATTCACGCAGCCCCGAGCGGAGGGATGGATGGAGGGATGGAGGGATGGATGCCTTTGCGCGCGTCAGTACTTAGAGCCGCGGCGACGGCGGCATGCGAGACACCTGAGAGAGACAGCTGTGCTCCCCAGGCACACAGACAGCGCTCCCCAGGCACAAAAACAGGCGGCCACCGTGGCGTCCGGCTCCGAGCACGGCACTGCCCTGGGGATGGATGGGGACGCGGCTGAGCCTGGTGCCTAGGGGCCTCGTGCTGTGACCGGGCTCCCCATGGCAAGGGGATGGAGGGGACACGGGGCACTGCTGGGCTGCGTGGTGGTTCTTGAGCAGGGCACGGTGCCACTCACTGCCACCAACTGCCACACATTCAGGTGGTACCTGGAACACATGGCCACCACACATCTCCACTATCATGAATCACAGGAATAACGTAGGGATGGGAGCAAGGGCTTAGGGATCCTGAGAGGCTTTGACTACTGTGACCACATCCCCACCAACACCAGTCCCCAGCACCAGCGGTGGTGACACGAGGTGGCAATGTCACACCCGGAGAAAGGACAGAGGGGAGGAGCGAGTCCTACCGTGCTCCGGTGTCACTGTGGCACAGCATCCATCTGCAGCCTGGCTGAGCCCTCGTGACATCACCAAGCAGGTCCCCATGCTGGGGCTGGTGCTGCCGATGTTCCTCAGTGCCACTGGGGTGCCCGGCCCCAGCACCACCCCCCCGAGGAAGGCAGGCTGGGAGCTCACCTGCACCGTCTGTGGCTGTGACACCAGCTTGAAGGGGGCAGCTGGGGGAAGCAGCCCCTCACCAGGGCCGGTGAGGGTGTGGGGGGTCGGGCGAGCCAGGCGGGGGCTGGCACTGAGGCTGACCCTGAGCTGTGTGCGGGGCAGCCCTGGGGCCATCTCACCACCTGAGGAGGAGGAGGAAGGCAGGTGGGTGCGGGGCAGGGCAGCGGGGCTGTGGGCACCCCATGGCTGTGTGGGCTGTGGGGCTGGCAGGGGGATGCCTGGCTCCTCGGCGATGTGCAGGTCCAGTGCTGGCAGCGAGCTGCGCCCGGCAGCCACATGCAGGGAACATTCTGCTTCCGCTGGGAAGACGCAGCCGTGTGATGGCACTTTCTTCAAGCAGGGGTCGGCAGCCAGGGAGGCTGCAGGAGGCTGGGGGGCCGCAGGGCTCTCCAGGCTGGAGCTGGAGCTGCGCAGGCTCTCACCATCACTGCCCGGCCCCGTGTGGCTCTGGAAGGAGGCGATGCTGCCGGGAGCCCGGCCAGCATGGTGCTGACCCCGCAGCAATGGGCTGTGTGGTGCAGGGCCGGGCTGCAGCACCCGATGGCTCTCGGTGGCACTCACAGGCAGCGGGGACACAATGGGGGATCCGGGAGCATCACCTGCATCCTCTGCCTCAAACGACTTCTTGAGGGCTGGGGAGAGATGGAGAGGTGTGAGGGCAGCACTGGGGCTCGGTGGCACCGCAGCTGTTGGGCGCTCCCCCCGTGCACCGGGTGCCAAAGGGCCGTCTGTGAGCCCAGCCCAGATGGGAAACCAGATCGGTGCTGCCGGCCCCTCGGCTTTGTTCCCCAGCACTTATCTGTGGGTTGGTGCCGTGGCTCCCGGCTCCCCGCACCGCACAGTGCCCGCTTTATTCCCCTGTAAGGGATCCGGCCCCACGTAACCAGATCCCTGCCCGAGCTGCTGCTCTCCCCCCTCATTCAGCACAGCTCAGCACAGGATCCCTGCCCTATTCCGGAGTGTTAACCCTGAAGCCTACCGACGGCACAGCCATCAGATGGCACTCCTATCCTACAGCAGTACTGCCCCTGCCAGGAGGGCTCTGACCCTCCACCACAAGCAGGCAGATGCATATGGGGGGGTCAGGACCCGTGCTGTGTCCTGGGGCTGAACGCTCCTCGTGCTCCCCCCGCTGGAGTGCCACAATAGGGGCACCCCACTACCCTGGGGGCTGCTCTCCTCCGGCTGCAGCACCGCGGTGGGTCTGCATGAATGGACCCCACAAAGTTCCCACACCCCATTAACCCCTCCCCCGGGCAGGAAGCGGTAGTGTGGCCGCCCCCCCCCGAGAGCTGCGTTCCTGCCAGATCCGCCCCAGCGGCTCCGTTTGGTGCCGGCTCCCCACGGAGAGCGCCGGGAGCCGAAGCTCCCACGGAGCCCCCCCACTCCCCCCGCCGCGCTGCCATGTGTGCGGCACGAGGCCCCGGTCAGCAGCGGGTGATGGGAATGGGCACGGGGGTCGATGGGGATAGGGGAGAAATGGGGACCTGGAGTGATGGACACGGGATGATAAGGACCCAGGGGTGATGGGGACCCGGGGGATGATGGGGACCCGGTGCAATGAAGCCGGGCTGGAGCTCAGTGCCCCGTCCCCTCCCCAGGTCGCCGCCCCGTGCCCGGGGCTGGGCACAGAGGTCAGGGGTCGGGGCGGGGGTGATGCTAATAACAGCTCTGGGCCGGCAGGTATGTTCCAGCCCGGGGCTGCCGGGGAGGGCGGTGGAGAGGTACAAGGGGTTCTTCACCCTCCCCTTCCTCGCGTTTCTCCCACCGCTGCACCCCGTGCCCCCCCCGGTAGGTGCTGCATTCCTCCCGCCGAGGGCAGCAGCCGCCCCAGGTCGGATTTCTCCGCCCGCTCCTCCCCGAGCTGCCCCTTCCCGACCCCGGCGAGCGGCGGAGGGGGGGGGGGGGGGGGGGGGGGGGGGCGGGGAGTTGGGGCCAAAAGGAAGATAAAAAAGGGGGAAAAAAAAAAAAAAGCCAAACACACACCCAAAAAAAAGCCAAGTCCCGTTGTTGCCGGACCCCCCCTCCCCCCCGCAAAGCCGCCCGGCCCCGTTCGGTTGCATAGAGTGGGAGAGCCCACGCGGGTCTCGGGATGCACGCGTGGGGCGGTGCAGAGGCACACATGGACCATCCAGACCATTCACACACACGTTCGTACACACATAGATACACGCGGAGATACACGCGGGGAGAGCCTTTCACGCACCCACGGGGAAACGCGGCCGCGGGTGAGGCTCGGAAGGGGGGAGGGGGGGCGTTCCGACCTCACCTTCGAAGTCGCTGAGGATCCCGTCCAGGTGCTCCTTCACCGAGAGCCGGGCCATGGGTGGGGGGTGGACGCGGGGCCGCCCAGCATGGGAACCGCAGAACGGAGCGGAGCAGCGGACCGGGCCGGGACGGCGGCTGCTGCCCCGGGTTGTGCGGGAGAGGAGCGAGAAGAAGAGGAGGAGGTGAAAGAGCGGGAGGAGGAGGGGAGGGCTGCAGGGGGCGGGGGCGGCGGGGGGAGGTACTGCCCGCATCCCGCCCCGGCCGGATCCCCCCCACCCGTATCCCACGGGCGTGGCATTGCCGGGTGGTTCCGGGGGGGTCCCATCCTCTCCGGCCCCATCGCGATGCTGCGGCTCTTTTCCCCCACTGAAAGCCACGGGTAGAGCTGGGAATCCCCTCCCCGGCCCCACTGAGGGCAGCAAAGGGGTCTCCGACCTGCCCTCCCCCCCCTCCAGGGCTGCTCCCAGCACCCACCCACCCGGCCCTTTTGGCTGCGGGAGGGTGGGGGGGGGGGATGTGAGGACTTTTCTGTACTGCTTGGAAAAGAAAAGTGTGAATTTCAGGCTGTGCTTTTAGGGCTGGGGTTTGCTGGGGGTTTGGGTTCCCGTGGTGCTGCATCCTGGAGCATCTTTGTCCTTGTCCCAGAGCATCCTTGTCCTGCATCCAGGAGCACCCATGGAGATGAGCCAACCGATCCAACTCTCCCACACTGAGCAGGGAGCAGAGAGCAGCGTTCCATGACAATTCCTGCAGCCCTCAGTGAGTTTTGGAGCCATGAAGCCATAAACCTATGATGGGTAAACACATTCACCTATTAGGAACAACATCTGGGGCTCTCCGATGGCACGGAGGTGGGCTGGGACCCAACACTGGGGGCTGCTGATACGGCCCCACAGCCACCCCAAGGGGGATTCAGTGAGCACTGGAACACAGAGATCTCTGCTGCACCGCTGGAGAAGGTCCATAGCATTCAGCATCCCTGTCGGGAGGGACCCCACAAGGGTCTGGAGGCATTTCAGGGGCCTCACAGAGGGCTTGGGAGCACTTGAGACCTCGCAGGGCCCTTCAGAGGAAGGCTTGGAGTGCTTTTGAGCTGCTGCAGGGTATTTCTTTCGGTGCGTTTTCAGCTACTTCAAGGAGTTTCAGAAGGGTTTGGAGGAGCTTGAGAGCTGCTTGGAGCGCTGTTGGCTTTTGGGGCCACATGGGGGGAGGTTCCTGGGGCAGCCCAGGTGCTCAGTGGATCTGCAGGGTTGGAATCACTCGGGGCGTTTTGGGGCTCCCCAAAGTACTGAGCTGATTTTAAAGGACATTTTTTTTTTTAGAAAAGAATCCTGGCACCCTTCAGAACTGTTGGGGCCCTTTAGGGATGCTCGGGGAGGTTCTGGAGCAGCAGTTGGGAGCAGGATGGAGCGGCTTGCAGCAACGCAGAGGGGATTTTGGAGCCCTTTGGGGCAGCTTACAGGGGCTCAGAAGAGGCACAGAGATGCGCACAGCTCAGCAAGAGGCTTTTAGGGCATTTCCTTGCCCAAGCATGGGATTTCTGTGTCAGTAGAGAGATTGGAGGAGCTCACACAGCACCCAGCAGGCTGCAGGCAAGGGAAGCTCTGTGTCATCACTTACATCCCCAGAGGGCAGCAGGACATGGGGACAAGAACAGCGCTGGCTCTGGAAGTCCCTACACCCATCCCCAGTGCTTTCTGCTCCCCCCCCATCCTACCCTATAGACCCCACAAAGCCACAGCAAGGAAGAGCCGAGGACAGGAATGGTAACAGCATTTAATGGGACGAGAATCAATACATCATTTAAGACAATACTGCTTTCACCCTTTTGGGACTTCCTTCACATACCGGTGGGGAGAGAGGAAGGTTTTCAGGAAGGACAGGTCGGTGTGGTTTTGTTTTTGTTTTTGTTTTTTTTTTTTCATAGGGGCTTTAAAGCATGGTGAATGTGCAAGTCAGTGCTTTGTTTGCTTAAAACCTTTTCCTGGTGCTTATTTACAGTTACAGTACCTCTTTGTGAGCGACAGGAAAAAAAAAAAAAGACGATTGTAGGAACTGGGGATCGGTGACCCCAAGTCGAGAAAGGCAGATCTCCAATATTTATATATTTATACATATATATATATATATATATGCTTTTGTGTTATACACAGATACATTTCTCTCTTCTTTTAAAGTATTAAAAAAATGATCAACCTTCGTTCTATAAAAATACCTACTCTACAAGATAGAAAAATTTCCCTCTCCATGTATACACTGATTTACACCCAAAGCTTCTCTGGAAATGTACACGACGTGGCTCCATCCCCAGGCTGGGTGCAGGGCTGTGTCAGATGGCCGTGGTGTGGGGACACGGCGGTGGCTCTGGGCTCAGCTGTAGGGACAGCCCCTGGCTGACCCACGACACAGCGATGCGCTCGGAAGCATTTTGGGGGTCGCTGCTGCTCCCCTGTTTTTGGGCTGCAGTGGTGTTTCCGAAGCTTGGCTAGCAGGAGAAATAGCTGCTCCGTGAGCCTGGTGCAGCGAGAGAACCAGATCCTGGGGCAGTGGGATGAGTGGCTGCTCCCATGGATGCCCCCTGGCTGCGGTCACCACGAGCTGCCCCCGCTGTGAGCGTGGTCTGTGTTTCCCAGCCAGCTGGCACTGCGTTCACAGAGACCTCCTGGCAGCACAGGGATGGGCGATGCTGTGTGCTAAGAGCTCAGAGCAGCCACCCCATCCCTATCCCCAGCACAGGGTGAGGAGCGGGTTCTCCCTCCGGGATCACAGCCATCACCAGCAGAGCCCCGTTCCATGCTGGGATGCTGGGGCAGCACACAGAGCTCAGCCCTCACACCGCAATCTCTGCCCCAATCTCTGCAAGCAGGATGGAGGGGACGGCTCTGCCATGAACTGTGCAGACCCCGCAGCAACATCCCACCCTGGAGCAGAGGGCAGCGAGCCACAGACAGCAAAATAAATAAGGAGGTGGGTGACACTGCACTCACACCCTGTCCCAAGGATGGCTGCTCCCCTCTCCGTGCCACCAGCAAGTGAGAAGCCAGCGTGCTCCACGCACGCGACCCGTTCCCAAGCAAAAGCAGCAGGGCAAGGATTAACTGCGCCAGCTGGATGAAGACATTTGCATTAAGTTAATTAAAAAATAATCATCATCATCATCATTCTACAAGTCCAGGACGTGTTTCCCTCTTTCCCAGATCTGCCCCAGTAAGTGAGTGTGTCACGGACACTTTGGCAAAGCAGACACCCAGGCTGGGTAGGGCAGCTGGGGGGTTGGGGGGGGGGTGGGAAACGTTCCTGCTCCATCTCGACCCCTGCAGTTCAGAGGAAGCCCTCCTCACACCCGTGCGGGGCCGTCCCAAATCCTTCCCACGGTTGCCCGTTGCCTCCATTTCTCCTCCAGGTTCCCTTTCACCCCTGGAAGCCAGAAGGGTTGCAAAATAACGGAGTCAGACAACAGAGCCTCACTGCTGGCTCTCCGCCCCGCTGCTGCGCCGGCTGATTCCCCACCGATCCGACGCCACGTTTCCTTGTGCCTTCATCAAGAGCAAAGACGTTGCGAGTCCTTCTTCCTCCTCTCAGAGCACCAAATCCACAGCCGTGGCAGAGTGCGCAGCGCGTGGCTCTCGGCCGCCCTTACTTCACCTCCAGGATGGAGGGGTTGGTCTCCATGATGGCCACGATGATCCTGTCGATGTAGTCCTGCAGGCGGAAGTTGATCTCCTCTTGCTTTTGAATTGCTTCCATGAGCTGAGAGGGAGAGAAGAGAGAAGTGGTCGCTGCTGTCTGAGGATGGGAGGAGGGCATCGTTCCATGACTCCACTGGGAGGAGATGCCCTCAGCCAGCAGCTCTGCTCAGCCCTACCCCTGGACTTGAGGTCTCCAGGGCAGCTGTCCCAGCTGCTGGGCTTTTAATGCAGCTGCAGACACACACACATTTGTGTTTGTTCATTCAGCCCAGGAAGAGAAGGCAAAGCAGTGCCACAAATTGGAAGGCAGCACAATCCCCTATTCCCATGAATTAGGGCAAGTCATACAGTCATCACAGAATCAGATGGCCTGGGTTGAAAAGGAGCACAATGCTCATCCAGTTCCAACCCCCTGCTATGTGCAGGTCACCAACCAGCAGCCCAGGCTGCCCAGAGCCACATCCAGCCTGGCCTTGAATGCCTGCAGGGATGGGGCATCCACAGCCTCCTTGGGCAACCTGTTCCAGTGCCTCACCACCCTCTGTATAGAAAACTTCCTCCTATCTAACCTATACCTCCCCCATCTCAGACCCAAATGCTCTTTAAATCATTGCATTCAGTCTCATGACAGCTCTCAGGTGGGGTTTGGGAGAGAGCTGTACTGCAGCCATACTTGCTGGATGGGAAGGGGAAGCCCCAGGCACCCCAGGGAGATGCGGTCAGAGAGAAGCAGCTCCCTGTGCACGCACCTCATCTCTGGAGACTGAGCTGATCTCTGCTGCCAGGGATTCAGAGAAGGAGGCTGAGAAGAGGTTCTTGGCTCCCTGGATGCTCAGGTTGATGATCTGCCCGTTCAGCTCATCGTTCTGCTCCTTCAGGCTCCTGTTATCCTGTTCACAACAACCACGTGTCAGGTGCTGCATGGTGCCCCCGAGAAGATCCACACAACCCCACTGCAGAGCTGGGAAAGGCAGGGGCTTTGCAGGGCACTGGGAACAGCACACGTTCTCCTGACTCTAACTGGAGAGCCTGGAGAGCCTCAGGAAATGTGGGACAGGTCTAGGGGACACAGCATACATGGGTCCTGCAAACACACGACGCCCTTCAGAGGAAGGATCTGAGCTCTCCCGTCCCTGTACAGAGGAGCAAGAAACAGCAGGATGCTGCATGCATGGTCAGCTCCTGGAAGGGAGAAGCCCACCAACCAAGGAGCCAGGCAAAAGGGGAAAATAAGCATCCCTTATTGCAAAATGTTTCCTCTCCCTTCCCAGCCTCACCTACCTGCTTAAGCTGCTTGATCTCCTGCTCCAGCTCTGTCTCTCGTGTCCTGCTGTTGTACTCCTGCAGCCCCATGCTGCTGCTCCGGCCTCTCCGTTGCTCACATTCCAGTTTGAAGAGCTGCAAGTGCTCGAGCTGCTTCCTGAGGTCCTCAATGAGCTGCAGCAAAAGGAAGAGGGGCAGCTGAGTG